CCTCGAATAAGACTTGCCTCAACACTAGTGCAGATTTGTTTAAAATTTTGCCTAGGTTTGAGAGCAAAGTTTCTCGAATAGGAGTTGTCTCCAAGACTAGCATAGGCTCAATAAACCACGATGAGTGAACCAAGTGCCTCAAATAGGATCTACCTTAACAATTACGCGAATTTGATTAAAATTTCACTTAGGCTCGAATTCTTTTTTTTCCCTCAAGGAGTAGTTAGACTCGTCTTGTTTTTCCTCAATTAAATTAATAGAAAATTAAAAAAATTACTGAATCACGTTGTCTCATAGACCCTTCAAAAGTAGAGGATCTTGTTGACAACTATTTTTGCTATCTCACCTTGATAGTGTTCATGCCATCTCTCATTGGAGAAGTTTTTTTTTGTGGACAATGTCCATTTGATGATGTGGCACTTTTTTCACAATTCACATATGTTGTAATACACTAACTACTACTCTTGCACACCTTTGAGTGATTCAAGATATAATTGTTTGAGTTCCATTTTTCGAAAAAAATAGATTTTGTAATAGTAATTTTTGAAAAATGCGTAGTTGAAAGCAGGAAATTTTTTTTAAAGTTTGAACGTAAAATTATTTTATTGAAATAATGTATAGTTGAAAATGAGTTTTAAAAAAAATTAGGACGCGTTTGATTTGTTTCTTTCAGTTTGGTCTAGTCTTTTTAAAAGTACTTTTTCGAAAATAATTTTAAATTTATAATATACAACTCATAACACATTTTTAACGTTCGAAGTGTTATGAAATAGAATAATCCGGTTGAAGCGTAATGATCATATGTCTGTAGTGCAATGTATGTCCCACAATATGTCCATGCTAAGAATTCAAACCCTAGTACTCACTTAACAAAAATCAAAATTCAAAACAATAAAAATCTAAAATCTATAAGATAAAATAAAAAAAATAAATTAGAATTTTGATAAATTCTGAAAACTAAAAATATATAAATTTTGAAAAAAATAAAATATGAAGTTCAACAATAAAAATTCTTTAAAAAAAAAATGAAAATAGTTCAAA